ACAACTGCCTGACAGGAGGCTGTAGGGAGGTGGGGGTCAGTCTCTTCTCCCTGGTAACAGATGATAGGACGAGGGGGAATGGTTTGAAGCTGCGCCAGGGCAGGTTTAGGCTAGACATTAGGAAAAAATTCTTCACCGAAAGGGTTGTCATGCTCTGGAATGGGCTGCCCAGGGAGATGGTCGAGTCCTCATCCCTGGAGGTCTTTAAAAGAAGGGTAGATGAGGTGCTTAGGGACATGGTTTAGTGGTGGGATGTCAGGGTTAGGTTAAAGGTTGGACTCGGTGATCTCAAAGGTCTTTTCCAACCAAAGTGATTCTATGATTTGCCAAAAGAGTAAAGGTATCTAGTTAGAAATTGCTAGCAATCCTGACTTGGGCCAAAACTGCAGAACTGAATGTCCATCTCAATACTCAGGACTTACAAGGGTTGCCTTGTGAAAGCAGAAGGGGTGACAGTGAAAGGCGAACACTGTTTGTTCAAAGCAGTGCACAACTATGCTGTGTGAGAGGAAAGCCCAACCGTCCCCAGTCTGAATGATGTGCCTTTTGCATTAAAGGGCAAGCAGAACTAAGAATCATGTTCTGCCTTTAGCAAAAGGAGGCATTTTCATCTAAAATCTCACAATCCAATACAGTTAGGTATTTCACCACCCTTCTTTGAAATATACATACCCCGACACTATTTTCATAGCTAGACAAGCAAGAACAGATTTCCTCTGCATATGCCAAGCACTCAGTGCTTCCACTCGGGTATCACCAAAGAAACTGAATGACTGCACTGACCTGCACTAGATTTTAACTCTTAGATGAGGTCCAATCAGAGATGCTTTTATCTGTAACAAATGGGTCAAACAAACCAAGAAACAGACTATGGGAAAATATTTAAAGTAAAAAAGACAAAACAAAGAAAAGGAAAAGAAGTAGTGAAAAAAAGTGACAAGGTGTTATTTGAAAGCACAGTGCTATGCTGAAAATAAACAGAATTCTCAAATGGAAAATTTAAAAAACCAAAACAGATTAAACAAGTATTTGTATCCCACCAGAGAGTATTTGCCTGTGTGGGAAACTCAGTCATCAAGGACAGAAACCAATGTATTAAGTGTTCAGTGTTTCATCATTTCAGTTATTAAAAAGTTAGAGACTCTTCATAATGACAAGATGTCAGGGCTGAGCACACTCTGCATTGAGGAAAAATAGCGAGTCTGGGAGACAGAAACTGAAGAAGCCTTAGCCGACATTATCAAAAGCTGGCTTAATTCAGGATATACTCCTAAAGGCCAGAAAACAACAGCGTAGGGCACTGGTAACACACCAGGATGTTAAGAGACTAGACAAGAGACCAGATGTAAGGGGATCAAGAGGTGCAACATCTGCCTCAGTGAAGCACCACCTGGTCAGGAGCAGCTGATGGCTGCAGGTGGGGAACACCCCACCCCACTGATTCCTGGGGGCTTCCCTGTGGCCGCTGTTGCCAGGGCAGGTGAGTGCTGCAGAGTGGAGAGCACAGGGCTTTTTGGGGAGTGCTTGCTGCCCACCTTGGCTCTGCGGTTGAAGGTGAGAGCTGAGATGGCTCTGCGGTTGAAGGTGAGAGCTGAGATGTCTCTGCCTGCCCGATCACGCTGTGGAGAGCCCTAATGCTGCTCAGGAGGATTCCCACGGGATCAGCACTGCGCTGACAGCTTGTGCTGCAGGCAGGCATCACTCACAACCATAGTCAAGAATCCACGATTTGTGCTTTCCCTTCTAAGATTTCCCTGAATTCCTCCCAAATTGCTCAGAACTGGTTACTGCAAAGCTTTGCAGTCAAATCACTTGATAATGAATTGTAAATTAGTTCAAAATGTATTAGAAGGGAATTTGAATTGCACTTAAGAGTTTGAATGTCCTAATGTCTCCTGCTAATTAATGGAACTGGTTGAGTAAGTGGTTTTAATGGACTGTTTCATTTTGCATTGACTCGGAGCATTTTATAGAGCTTAACATTATTTAAAAGAAGTGGGGAGCAGACATTTCTTGTCAACAAAATTTTACTTGTTCACGTGAAGATGAAGCATTCAATTTTTCATTTTTATTTTTTGAGATTTATTTGATAAGTAGAATTATATTTTAAAAACTTGGAATTTGAATTAGAATTAAAAAATTCAAAAACTAGGAAGAATAGAAAAAATAATTTAAAGATTTGAAATGAAACATTTCAAAGGCCTCTGAGTGTGGGCTCAGGCTTTTTTAGGCTAAAAGAATTTTGATGTGACATGGTTTCTGAAAGTATTTAGTCATTCCAAAGAGAATTTAAAATACTCTTTGACAGACAGATTTTATGTAGCTCTGCTGCAGCAAAATTGCAGACTCTGATTTATATTAATACACTGAGATGGACCATCCATATAGTCAATATACACAGATGAATATATCATGCCAGCAGTATTCCTCTAAACATCATACATTCAGAAGCCTGAACTGGGCATAGTCTCACAATCAGTTTACTTCTTCACCTAGCACAGGGAAAAAACCATCTCCTTTTTCCAAAAGAATGAGTGCCTTTCACAAGGAGTCTTTCACTGCAGCTATCAGTGTCACTAGGAAATGAAAACTTACAGCAAGATGCAGGGAAATATTATATCACCACAACTCTATAGGCCTGGTCACTTGAGATATGAAACAAATAAACATTTCTGTAATTTATTTAAAAACAAGTAGTTAAGCTAGTGGAAAATGAAGAGGTGTATGTCTGACACTGAAGAAACCCCATTTTGTAACTCACTTCATCCTATTTCTTAATTCTTTCTGTAGCAGCTTTCTTGTCACAGTGTTTGTACCTGTGAAGGGGCTGTTTCCAAGCAAACTACTGTGGCTAAAGAGCACACCAGCTATTCAGCACTAACTTTCCTTGCTTGGTTGCTCTTCTTTAAATACACCAATAGGTAATTTTGGTTAGTCCTCTTCCAAAGTAGAAGTTAGTGCAGAATGGCTACTCTGAGTGATTTCTGGGGTAGACATGACACAAAAAAATTCTGCTCAGTAGAGATGTTTTCTGCTTCCAACAAAGACTGAACATTGGTGGGCCAGATGTGAGAAAATAGTGGGTTTTAGCAGTGGTATCCTTTAATGACAATTACAGTTCAGCAAATGTGACTCATAGCAGTTTGTATAAAAACTCTGAGGTTTTTTCAATCCAGTTTCGTTTCCAGAAGGATATCTGCATAACCTACTCACATAGACTCTCTCCTACTTCTTTACCAGTGGCACTGTCAGCTGACACCTGGACTGGGATTTACCTACCATACCTCTACAAGTGCCAGCATTAGGCACTTAGCCTAAACCAGATGGCTGCTCCCCTCCCTTTAACAAGCACAGCCTCATCCGAGGTTCCTCCCTTTTCAAGACAGGCACCTAAACCAAACAGGCTGTGTTGCCTTCTGGAAGTCTTTTTGCATTTCTGCATCAACCTTAGGGGGACTAGTGACTTGTTTCAGTTAGGCACAAGTTAGTTAGGGCCAAAAGTAGGTGAATTAATTAATGGTTTTGATTAAAAAAATCATACTGGGGAAATACACTACACTGCATAAATTGTAAAAAGGCTATCCCATGGGACTAAAGTATGCAAATGAGGTATAAATATTTTGTAAATTTCAGATAAGGTATCTGTCAGTGAAATTATTATAAGCATGAAGTTGACTACCATCTGTCAAGTCACTCAACTAAAATGTATTAAAGCCTCCAGTAAATATGAAATCATCGTACCCCAATTCCACAGTCCAGCTGATGCAAGTAGACCTTCCTCTAAGCTCCATCAGTGCTAATGAGATCCCTCACAGTTACAAGGGTCTGCAAATACAGATGAGACTGCAGGCTGTTACTGCGGCTTTGAGGCTTCATATTCCCTGAATATTTAGGGTAAAGCAAGAAAGTTACCTGTTCAAATCACGGTGTATGATTGGTTGTGTGAGATTGTGGAGGTACTCCATGCCTTTGGCAACATCTACAGCAATGATTAATTTAGACTGCAGATCAAGGGTTCTATATTTTGAAAAAAAAAAATTACTCAAAGTTAATAAACAGACAAGAATTACCTGTGAATTATTTTTATATGTAAATCATGGAACCTTAAAAATTGTTTTAAATACTATATAATCTATGTAATAGAAACATATACAATGTAAAATAAAGACTAAATAAAAATTTTGTGTTTACTTATTAATTTCCTGTGTACACCCAATAATTTGAATCAAAGCTAAAATTTTTCTAGTGTGTTCCTTTCTCTATTGTTTTATACAGAAATGAATAACATTTACATCAGCATAGATTTACTAGTCTTCTGAATTCGGTACCACAAGCTCAAGCAGAGAACTAGTGGAATACCTCTTCTGTTCATGAAGCAGAGAGAAGAGTGATCCTCCAGAAATATACTGGGTGACTATAGCAAACTGGCTTGGGTCATCTAAGCAAGCTCCCACAAACTGGATGACACATGGATGATTCAGTCGGCAGAGAATGGAAACTTCACGGCAGAACATGTCCACATCAGATTTGGAGCAGTAGGTGTTGGCTCGATAGCTTAGAATTTACGCGAGAGAAAACAGTAAGGCAAAAATATAATCAAATATGGTTTTTTTTAATACTTCAAACTAGGTCATTAGCCAAACAAGGTGGAAAAGTCTGATAAACTTACCGTTTGATTGCAACAATTTTATTTCTGCATCGTCCCTTATATACTTTTCCAAAAGACCCTGAAAAGGTTTAAAATAAATAAGCACAAAGATATTTATTATGAACATCAGACATTTAAAAAGGATGCATTCTTATTTCTGGTACCTGAGCCAATAATCTCATGGAACTCTATTTCAGAGAGCTGAAGATGGAAATGTGATGGCAAACCAGCACGGAGGAGGAGAACATCTGCCTTTTCTGCAAAAGAAAACATTCTATTTGTAAAATGTGGGGTCCTGGGGGAGGACAGAATACAAGCATTTAACTTCACAAAGACGTTGCACAGTAAAAGCTGATTTTCCTCTTGTAAACTGTTTGACTAGTAATCCCATTTCCTTTTCTTTCAGTAACCACAGTAAACCCCAGTAACAAATACTTGCAATACTACAGTTGCCTTGGGCTTTCTTGGCTTTGAAATCTTATCAGCAATGAACACTGTCCCATAAGCATATTCTGCCTGTATCATGTCATGGTTGCGTAAAAGCCTTTATATGGAGAATTAGTTCCCTTTTTTCAGTATAGCTAGTGCTCATTACTGATGCAGGGGGTGTTATTCCAGATCTGACTGACTCTTTAGTGACATGTGGAATCTAAATTTTGCAACTTAATTTAGTCAGCAAACTTCTCTACCTTGTTGATATTCTTGGTTTATTGCTATAAAGTTTATCAGAATATTTCTAAATGGAACATTTCAATTCTGTTATGTAAAGGTTGTAAGGATTTGATTATATTCAGAGTGAATATTTGAAGTGGAAAACTGAAAGCACCACAAAAATTGGAATATTTTAAAGTACAAATATTCATCTGAATGTTTTATCTATATGTGCTTCAGATTAACACTAATTATTTTTGGACAAAATTTTTCTTGTAAAGATAATCCAGTCCTTTTACAGTGGAATTCAATATGATATTTGTTTGCATTCCTGTATATGTGTGTATTACATTAGTGCTAATTCACAAGCACATCCTTTTCTCCAAAGAAATAACAATAAACATATTTTTTAAAGTAAATGAAAATAAGATAAATACAGGAATTATCATGATGCTGAGCAACAAAGCTAAGTATATTGTTTCCTAAAATTATCCTAGGGAAATACAGCTGCTGCTTATGCACATCATTAAATTTCTGAACAATGAAAATTCCAGGAATAATGAATCTGGTGTAGTAAGTTTAGGCTGACAAACACCTTGGGTAAAAAGACCGTAAAAGTTTTCAAGTTTTCCCTTGCTATTGAGAATACCTTTAGTCATGTTTTTTATCTTTCCTAGAGGAGATGGAACTGACACATAGGAACCATCTGAAAGAAAAGAACAGAATTAATTTTATGGAATTCAAAGACAGTATAAGCTTCTGTACTGATAAATTAATGAGGCAATGATTGCTTAAAGAATGAAAAATAAATGGGTGAAAATACACATAAATGCACAAACACATATGATTGTGCTGTTCTTGAAAGTAATTTGTATATAGCTTCACTAAACACTGTAGAATGATACTGACTTTCACTGGTGTTACAGAAGGCCAAGGCAGCCTTTTATATCAGCTAGATTCTGCAAAGGATCTCAGATCAGATTCACAAATTCTGACAACTGGGCTGCAAGCATATTGCGCTGTTTAGTTCACTGACTAGATTTCCCAAAAGACCTCAGCTTTCTCCATGTACCCAAATTTTAATCTCTTGTTTTTCTGCTTAAGTGGGAGCTGAGTTCTGTTAAGAATCAGCGTTAAAGAAAATCTGTTTGGGTGTGTTAATTGCTTGCCAAAATAAATTTCCAATACATGCATAAACTAAAGGTTTGCATACACTTGAGATATACTAAACCTAAATCTGGAACAGGTCAAACTACTCTGCAGAGCTTGAAACGTAGGAAGCAGATTGATCCTGGTTTTGACTGTAGGGTTCCTCCTGTTTCCATGGCAGGAGGAGCCACTGACCTGGACAAGCTGCAACGTATAACATATTCACCCTCTCTGTAGACAAAGTTCTCAACACACTGCAAAATGTTCCTTTTATCAACTGCTTGTGTTGTTAACGTTTGTCTTGCCACTTGCCATTTAGTTGCCAATACAAATGAGTATTTTTGTAGCAAAAAGGGTAATTAATTTTTCCCAAGGGGGAATTAGATATCCAAAGATGTTAAAAAATATGAAGGGAAGTGAGTATAGAAATATACCACATGTCAGTAATCAAAGAAACGTCAGAGCTAAACAGCATAAAGAGAATGGCTAAACAAGGTATTAAGGATGTAAAAAGGTATGAGTAATGATTGCTAGGGACTGATCTTCATGTCACAGCTTTTAGCTTTTCTTTCTAGTGAGTAATACAAAATGACAACTCTAATTTAAGGTAAAGGAAGATTTTTTATGTAAATAGAGGGTACCTGGAAAATGGGGATTCTCATGACACTAATTTTCTTTGTGCCAGGCAGAATTGATCCAAAGGTCCCTGACATCCGTGGAACATTCCCAGAGACTTCAGCGGTCTTTGGATCAGACCCTTCAGTTAGAGAATAAAGTGATTTCTCAGACCATACCTCCTCCAGGTTGTGAGTATTCATTACAGGGTGAGTCATCCTGAGGTCTCTTATAATGCTTCAGAAGGGTTACAATGGCGTCATGACCTAAGAAGAGAGGAAAAATAAGGATTTGCAGGTAAACAAAATAGTAGTCTTTTTTTTTTTTTTAATTGATTTATTCAAAATCGGGGGATTTTTAAAAAAAATATACAATATTCCTATAAAACATGTAAACAAAGATACAGAGGCACTAATCTGAAACATATTATGATCCTTAGCTACAGAAATATAGGGAAATACCTGCCAATAAAACAAGCATGTTATTTTCATGAGTCCACCTAATCCTAAAATGTGATATATGGCAATAGAGAAACCCTGCTACAGAAATCCTAAAATGGAAGTTGACAGCGGTCTTCAGTAGGCCTTACAGGGACAATTAGTGCCTGAAAAGATTTCAGTTCTGGTGTCCTAAACTGGACAAAATGTGTACACTATATTGCTGTAGGCAGTTGCTATACTCATCATTCTCCCTTGCAAGCATCCAGAAGACAGCGGTGTACACACAGCATGCTCACTCCCTCAGGCGTTTGATGCACAAAATTCTGCTTGGCAACACTCAAAATGCTTTTCTAAACCTTTCAAAGATGAGTTTTCCCTCAATGATGAGTTTTTCCTCAGAGTATTTTGCCAGTGTCAGGTTTTTGGAAGGCCTTTGAAATCCATAGCTTTACTATATTACAGTCATTCACATAATAAATGGTACTGCAATGCTTTTGGAGGAGGGGGGAATGTCCTGGAATCCTCCAATTTTAACTTGTATTTTTCCCTGTCCCCTAGAAAACATAGGGGAAAGAAGAGCATTTTTGAGTTCTTGCTTTGTGCTCACTGTAAGTGGCTGGGCTCAGCACTGCTTATTCATACACCCAGGCTGATAGGAAATGTTTCTGTTTGCTGCTTATAAAGATGAGAGCAGGCAAAAAAAGGACGAAAACATAGGCATGTGTACTGAGGTTGTGATGCTTGGATCATGTACCAAATGCAACCTATCACTTCCTGCTTCTTCAGTTGCAAAGTCTGTTGGTATTTCTTTAAGGATATTTTTCACTAATATCCTAATGAGTACAAACTTTTCAGCTTATAATAAGCCAGGGAAAGACCAGTAAGCCCACAAGTTATGGAAAGGTTGTTCGCTAGATCTTCCAGGGTCCTGCAAAAAACTTAAAACTCCATCTCTTAAGGGTGCTTAAGGAAACAGATGAGGCAGAGGCTTTTTTGCTGACTCTCATCCTGTTATCAGAAGCTACCTTCTACAGGAGAGAAGTCACTAGGCTGCCAGGGACATGAGCTCTCACCAAAGAGTGTCAGCATAATGGAACAATTCTCTAAAACATAGGAATTTAAATCAAGAACAGGTTTTTATAGATAGCAGCTTTCTGGATGTCCAAACTCAGAGGATGCTTGAACTAAATGTTTGAAATGTTATCACTTAAATTAACACAAATGTTAACCCAAAGAAGATGGTCGCTTCTTTACCAAAGCAGTGAAGAGATTGCTTAAATAGCCTTCCACAGTCCCTAGGGGTGGAACGACAATGCCGAGAAGAACAAACTAAAGGGCATCCCACAAAAATCCATGGCACTCAACCACCGATGAAATCCATAAATGGATGCGAACATCAAAAACATTTTCAGGAAGAAATAAAGCTTTTTATTTGTGTGGAGTCAAAAACAGGACAGAAAGCTGACACATTGCTGTACATATAGGATGGTATAACAGGAACCATGGAAAACGCCCTGCTTTGATCCATATTTGCAAGAATTTAAGATTACTGATTCATCGCTCCTTGCAATGCCTCCTTCAGTAATAAAATTAAAACTCCTCATGCACATACCAGAGGGAGAAACAGCTTTTTCTGAACATGCTGTATGCTTTCTATTTTTGCAGCACATAAATACTCCTGTCCTTGAGTTTGTGTTGAATTAAACTAATGCTTTACAGAGTATATGAGAAGATAAAGAAAAGTGCTTTTTTTTATAACCCTTCGTGCCAGGAACTGGAAAGCGGATGGTGAGAGCTCCTAGTCTACAGGGGTTGAGGGGTTATTTTGTACTGTTCTCTCCTTCCTGTAATGTTTTTATGGATTTTGTGGCAGAAACCAGAAAATTGAAATACCTTTCTCATAAGCCCACATCAAACAGGTCTGCTCATCTTTTTCTCCACTGGACCTGCTGGGATCACAAGCTACCAGGTTCATATCAGCTCCATTATCCAGTAAAAACTGTACAAGTCGAATATGACCATGGTAGCAAGCACAGTGTAATCCTAGAACATCAGAGAAGCATGATAAGCACAACTGTCAGAACATCATGATAGGACTTGCAGCAACAACTATAAAGCATAAATTGATTTCCTCCGTAAAGGACTATATTATCAAAAAAATACCTGAGGCAATAGGTGCAAATAAATTATTAATGCTGCAAGAACCAAGCTATTGGTCTCTACACAAGAGCATTTACTCTACCACCTGCAAATCACATTTAACGACTTTGCACGTGAGGAAAAACAGGTAGAAATAAAGGCTCTTTTTGTTGTTGCTGGTAGTAGGGACATGGAGGTGTGCAGCCCTTCAGACACTATATCTATGCCCAGACCCTAGCAGAATAATACTTGGGTCCAATTCTTAAAACTGCTTAGCAGCCTAACTATGGGAGAATCAGTTTACATCCAGTTTTGTTGCTCATACACAAGCTGACGAGCCTGACACATTCTCACTGAACTCTTATCACTTCTATGCTTGCCTGCAAAGATATTTCAAAAAAGATAAGAACTGTCTGAAAGGTAATTGGATGCTGATCATCGAATTATTATGGGAATTACCCTGGAAAACCTGACTGTATATGGCTTCCAAATTTTTTGGTGCTGGTATATGCACTCATGCACAGTAAAGATGATGATGTTACCTGTATGTCCATCTCTTCCCTGGTGATTGATGCTTACAACATTCTGGTCAAGAAGAAATTTTACAAGTTCTATGTTCTTTCCATAGGTGCAAGCACTGAAAAAATAAAGGGAAAAGTGAATACTATAGTCCATAAAAAGACAAATACTTTGGGTAGCCAAAATTTTAAAAAGAGAGATAAAAATGTAGTAATAGAATAAAGGATCTTTAGAAATGTGCAAATGCATAATTAATCCTCCAAAGCATGTTCATTTTTGTCATTTCAGAAACATTCTAATTATTATTATATAAATTAATTTTGCACAGCTATGCAAAATTAATAGTCTGTTTTGTGAAGTGCCTTTATGAACTTACAGCATCATGACCAGACTGTGTTCTGCCACCTCATTTTTACATTAGAATATCTAGACTCCAGTAGGTTTCTAGGCAGAACAGGCTCTAAATTCATCTTCCAAACTGGACAGAAAGAGAAACCATTATACAGATGTTGATGAACCTGATGCTTTTCCTACCTGTCTCTCCCCATTCACTATCTGGTTCTACCTCTTACTTCATGTCCTGTCCTGTATCTCAAGATATAAACTTAATATCCACGTTGAGCTCACTGCTTTCTTTGTTCCTCATCTGGAACGAGGCAAGATATTTGTTATTTTGGGTGTATTGCATGCATGTATACATGGAATTCCATTGATAATGACGTTTTAAACATCTCACCTGTGGAAAGCCGTTTCACTGAATATGTTTTCTTTAGTGAGACTTTCTGTTCCTGAGAGCTGAATTATTTCCTTGACAACTTCAAACTTTCCATTGTAACACGCACTGGAGATGAAGTCAGTAAAGAGCTGTTAACAACACCAGCTTTCTAATCAGGCCCAAACCATGTAAAATAGAGCTTCTCCATGTGACTCACAGATGCAAAGGTGTGTCTCCATAGATATTCACCACATGGGGCTGAACTTCGAAGCTGCTCTGGAGTAAGAACTTTACAATTTCGTGGTGTCCAAATCGACAGCAGAAATGCAGAGGAACGTGATCTTCATTGTCCTGAGCATTCACTGCCATTTGACCCAGAAAGAGACCAAAGAAAGTATTTTATACTTAACATAGCTTGCTTTAGAACTTTAGTAATGCTTTATGTGTTGTGCATATACATCAGGAAACCTCGTGCTAAAATATTTATGGTCCTATTTCTTTAAGATTGAAATTTCTGTGAGCTTTCATATATCAAAACTACATTACTCAGTGTCATCTGTAGTACACTATCAAGATGATTTTTCGGACTTAGGGCACAAATGCTTTCTTCCAGTAGCATGCGTATTGAATGTTTTGATGTAGCTTTCCATGGATGAATCACAAGTTATAAATGACCCTTAGAAAGAGCAATTGCTGTCAGTATATTACAATGTGAAGCAAAAGTAAGATATGTAGCTACTATATGTAAGAAAGCAATCCACTGAATTATTCCAAACACATGGTACAATACTTATTAATTACAAATACTAGGAAGAAACATACTTAATTGTTGCTCTTAGGAAAGGAAAATCCAGTGGTTTTAAGGTTTATGTTAGCTTCTTTGAGTAGCAGGATCAAGGATTCTTGATATAGTTATATAGTGACAAAAAAGAAATTAAAAAAAAATCAGGGTGACAGTGAGGTTATATTTTTCATAGTCACTATTAAAATATAAATACATAAAAGGCAAGAAAGGAAGAGGAGAATTTCTTCAAGCATCTGGATCACCAATGTTTTCATTTTGCTCAATGTCTCTTTTTACCTGCAAGGATGATTTTGTATGTGCTTCACATCTTTAAGAGGATGGGAGTATTATTTGACAGAACATGAAATTGTACAAAAGAATTGGCAAAATTGGAAGCATGTTCTGTTCTGTTTGAGAGATTTGCCTTTCCAGTGCTTTATGTCCCAAAATTATGCGTTGTATATGTTGCAAACAACTTACAAAAATATATCCAATAAAAGTATTTTTTTCTAAATTTCTGAAGACAAATTCCTGTATCCTTCTACCTGAAAAATCAGTTGCTTTAATCTACGCACAACAGTATAATATTAAAAGCAAAAGAAAATTGAAATGAATTAATTCTAAATACCTCTCAAATAAGCATATACGTGCAAAGGATTAGAAGTTGATGTGATTTCTTAAACTCCTGGCTAGCTCATAGTCTCAGATATTTTGGGTGAAACAGTAGGGTTGTTGTAGGACAGACAATATTAACAAGCAATGAGGGAATTTAAAAAAATTCATTGATTCAATTGTCTTTCAGTAAGACCAAGATTTTTTCTTCAAGATTTGGCCCCCATTCAGCAAAGTGCTTGGAAACCTATCAGTAAGTGATCTGTTAGATCAAAATGTTGTTTCAGTTAGCATGCAGAAGCAAATTCGTATTTCTGAAACCATCTAATTTTGACTGCTGTTGTTTTAGTATAGCAAACAGTAATACTACACACTTTTTATCATGAACTTGTATTTAAAAATGATTCTGTAATAAAACAACATAAACCAAACAATTCTTGAGAATAGTTGTTATAAAATCATAGAATCATAGAATCGTTTGGGTTGGAAAAGACGTTTAAGATCATCAAGACCAACTGTTAACCTAACACTGCCAAGTCCACCACTAAACCATGTCCCTAAGCCCCACACCTACCTCCAGGGATGGGGACTCAACCACTTCCCTGGGCAGCCTGTTACAATGCTTGACTACTCTTACAGTAAAGAAATTTTTCCTAATACCCAGTCTAAACCTCCCTTGGTGCAACTTGAGGCCATTTCCTCTTGTCCTATCACTTGTTACTTGGGAGAAGAGACCAACGTTCCCCTCACTACAACCTCCTTTCAGGTCTCCCTCAGCCTCCTCGTCTCCAGGCTAAACAACTCCAGTTCCCTCAGCTGCTCCTCATAAGATCTGTGCTCCAGATCCTTCACCAGCTTCATTGTCCTTCTTTGGACATGCAAAGCGTCCAAATTACCAAGTGAACAGTGTGAGACTATACCTGCATATGTACTAATAACATAAATATGACTGGGAACATTCCTGGCATTGAGGCCAAGGTCACAGAACTGCTGGTATCTACCAACAGTAACAAACTGTTTTAAGAGGAATTAAGTTAAGGGCAACCTGTCTACTGGGAAGCTGTCCCTGGAAGATCCTTGGCCCATAGGTGCGAATTGTTTGAGACTTCTAGTTATCCTGGACCACATCCATGCCAGGGAGCCTTCTTTCTGTAGGATAGGCAGATGCATTCCAGCACCTGGGAACCTTCTTAGGCATGCCTGAAATAGGTATGGATACACCTTACATGTCACTTTCTTTATCTATCGAGTAGGAAGCAAGGAAGAGTTTGGACAAAGCTCTAGGCAGAGTTCTCCATTGGTGCAGAGACATACAAATACTGTTTTCATTATCCAAAAATTATCTTTATTCAGTTTTAAGAGAGAGCATGTATTTCTGTGATTCTTAGTGTATTTCCTTCTGTGTTTAAAGATAGAACAAACATAACTGGTTGATACAATAACTGATAGAATTGACAAATCCAGCCTACTTTGTACAATATTTAGGTCTCAATTCAGTCTAGCACCAGATCCTTGAGACAATTTACAAGAAATTAATAGACCACTAAGGAATAATCTGTCCATTAGAGGTGTCCAAACTTGTACTATGCAGGCTTTTAAGCACAACTTTGACAAATCTCTCTCAGGATTTTTTTTCCTTTAGCTGAGCCTCCTTAGGACAAAGGGTAAACCACACACATTATGAGATTCTGTCTTCTTTGAATTTCTGTGATTACAAGGAACAATGAAAATTAAAATAAAACCCTGTTGTAAAACCTTTCTGAAGTAATGCTGAATGCTCACGGAAATGGACAGTCCATTAAAAAGAGCTGACCTTATAACTTCACTGATGTCTAGAGGCAGATAGTTCCAAAGATGAATTATGTTTCAGGCCAGAAAAAAAGAAAAAAAATGAATTCCTGTAACTTATATTAAGCTTGTGGCCCACAAATTTCATTAACTGCCCCTGCTAACCTTCCTAGCAGTCTTATATGAAAAGGAGTAAAGAACAGTAAACTTTTATTTCTCTATTCTAAAATAATTCTTCACTTTATAGATTCATGTGACATGTTAGCCTTTATTTTTTATGATGATGCCGTACCAGACACAGATTCATTCTGAAGTGCAATAAATAAGAGGGGAATAAATGTCAAAGTTTTATAATAATAAATGCCAGCATTTTGGAATATGTACCCACAGAATGGCCTGAAGGACATCAGGGGTCTCAGGGCCATGAGCTTCTACAACATAACAAGGTGTAAAATAGAGCAAGGAAGGAAACATTTATCTTCTCCTTTGTTTATGCAGTTGGAAATAATGTCAAATACTTGCTAGCCACTTCCTTTGCCTATAACTACAACATGGGATGATGGTTTTTGCTTTAATTGATAACTTTTTGACTTCTAAATGAAACACAACAGGTAAACTGGAATATTGTCTTAACAAGAAGGATAATTTCACAGTGAAACCAAACCGAAATAAATCAAAACCACTTTAGAATAGAGTTATGGCAAAAAAGTACATCATACTGATTCAGGAATTAATAAAGAAGGGTACAGGATAGTTCTTCAAACTGAGATTTTAAAGTATTTTTACATTAGATCTAGGATAGGTAGTACAACTGTCATGGCAGTCAGAGACTAAAAATTCAGGTTGCCTTACAAGTAAACACTAAAAATTAACAAATGCTAAGTTCTTGTCTGGAACAAAATGGTGTACTGTAGAGATTATTCTTAGGACTGAGACATTACATAGGTAGAAAGTAACAGGTGAAACTATTTCAGTAAGTAAAAGGATGAAAAAGATAGAGTGCAAGTCTGTTTCAAAAAATTAAGGGAAATTTCCAGTGAGTGGTATCTGCTTAATATTCAGAGAAGCATGGTTGAACATATCAAAATATCAAACATATCAAAAATATCAAACTCTGGTTTTAAATTTAGAAGTGATTGTATTTGGCAGAGGTGACAGTGATTTTCAAAGATACTTAAAAAAAGAAGAGCTGGAACTCTAGGCAGCTCAGTAGTCCTGAACGCAGACAAGTTTTATTAAGAGACCGTAGGAGTTATAAAGCCAAAGAATGTATTTTATATCACGTGGTCCCTGAAAGAAATCTTCAGGACCACTGGCTTGAAGAATAATAAAAAACAGCAGTTATCTTATGTGAAGTAAACGAAATGTTTCCTGGCCACCAACTAGTTCTCTAAGTTTGTAGATATTCTGTTTCTTAGCTACCCCAACAGTTTTTAAAATATGATTTTTTTCTTTCATTTTGAAATGAACAGTTTTTGAAGTCATGGAAACTTCTACATTAGAAGTCCTACTTCTACATTCAAGCATTTGAGAAGCAATTATTTCCAGGCCCTCCCTGATTTCAAAGAAATGGAACATAAGAAAGAGTGGAACATACCGATAATTCTAAATTACCATAATTTTTTTAAGAAAACCCACACTTCATTTGCCCATTCCTTTTACTGCTGGAGTGTTGGGACACCAGCAGAAGTGTGGCCACACTAATTAGGCCAGACGATAACACAACAACAGGCAAAACCCACAGCTCTTTATTTTCAATAACCAAGTTTATCTTCCTTCATGTAAGTGGCAGATGAGACTGAGAAACAACAAATAATTAGACGACTTGGACTTTGGATCAGAAGTCAGCCATCCTGAGACCCAAACGTGTACCCTTATGATTACCTAAAGGGCTCAACAGCTTGACATGACACTTCTCAAGGTCAAGATCATACCCAGCCCACTGCTAAAACCAGTGAGTCGTCTGGATATAACATGTGTTGCTGAATATTGATTCTTAGAAACTACATAGAGAAAAGTTGGGTGTGGATGTGAGTGTAGTGAACCTACAAGAAAAGCAAGAAGGAGACAAAAGTTCAGTCCAATGAAATCAGGAAAGAGAATGGCTATTTAGGAATACTGATGGTTTCTCATTGTAATGAATTTCCTTTTCTGCTTTACTTTAAGAAAAAAACCCTTTCTCTTCATTTTATTTATTACAATTATCCTAGAAAAAAATCCACCAGATTACAAGAATGAATCAAACACTATGAAGTGATAATTTGTACCCCAGTTATTGCTACATTCTACCACTTGGATATTCTAAAATATAAAACTGAATTTCCTGACAGAATAAATAATGCAAGTTGGCAGCAATCATATTGACTCAGTAATGCAAAAAAATCTCTAGGAATTTGGAAGGCATGAATAAAGAAAGAAGGAAATAGAAGATGTTAAAAATAAAACCAGAAATGAGAAATTCTATATTAAATCAGTTTGAAAAAATCTCAAGATAGTTGAGGCACTTTAAGTGATAGCAGCTTGTAATGGCATGCTGCTCTTTGAGATATAGGAATGATCTCAAAGTTAATTTGGAGCTTAAAGGAATCTGATCAATACCCCAAGAAATGTGCTTGAAAGACCTTATGTGATTTCTGAAAATACACAGAAATTACTTAGTTGGAGAACCAACTGTACTTCTAACATATTGGTTTTATATATATGCATATGTAAAATATGAACATTGATGATGATATATTCATAGGTAGTGCATTTCTTTTATACATTTTTCTTATATATTGTGGTTGGGTTGAAGAAGAAGGTTGGCTATTGTTCGACTGCAAATGTTGCTATATTTCAGCAGTATTCTGACCTTTTCAGTGGTCACTGTTTTTCTTCAGTTGCCATGGCCTCAGACCTGATCAACGAGTCAGTCAGGTTATGTTAAAAGAAATAGTTCAAGTTTTTGGCACCAATTACTGGTCTGCACAGAATACTGCCAAAGCTTCTTCAGGTTATTTCACCAGTCACTTTCATTCCTAGGCATTTAAGTGTTGTTCCTCTGCTGCTATATTTAATCCAAGTTTCGAAGTGTGTTACTTTGTGAGTAAAAGACTTCCCGCTTCCAGTCTCCTTTTTCTTTTTCCAATGCTGAAGATACCAATTCTAAAGAAAAGAATCTGAAACTGTGTCCCAGGCTCTTTTCCTTTTGGAATAAACTACCTAACTGATAGTGAACCTTCCACTGCCTTGTTATGTTGAATGAACATCTCTTCTTTTCCCCCTCTTTATTGTAATTACATCAGTTCGGTGCACACACGTCGAGACTGAAACATCAAGAGCTCACTATTGAAAAAAGTACTTACAAGTCTGAGTCATGCTGTTTGTCTCCACACTTCTTTTACTGCGTGAGTAGGATGTGCGTACTGTAGGCAAGACTCACAGATTATGTGGTAAGGAGGAAAATGGGGAGAAATGCAGCCTTCATGGCACTAGCAGAGTAGGAACAGGGGTAGTGAATGCTTTTGGTGCTACTGGACATACTGAGCAGGGAAGAAGCCTCATGGACTCTTGACGCTGCTTTAGCCATTGTTAAGGAATGACAGGGCTTTAGAAAGTCAGCACTGAAGACTGTAGGTTTGAGAACACAAAACGTGCAAAATGACCACTCGACTGTCCTCTCCTGAAGCAAACTAACAGGTGTCAGTGGGGTATTGGACCAGGTGAGATCAAGAAAGAACAGAGCCTGGCAATTTAACACGTTTTTCAAATGTGGCTATACAGCATCCCTTTTTAATCTTCCCCGGTTATGCTCTATTGTTTTTAATTCACGAATAGCTGTGTGCATCAACTGGAACCAGACATCAAATAGGATACTAGATTGAGAAGCAGCAACTGAAGAATTTTGATGGCTTCTTGTTCTTTCTATAACATGCAGGATTCTTGCAGTAAATGCTTTTTTTTTGTTTGATTGTTTCTTGTTTTTCCAGTTCTGCTTTTCCTAGATCAAACTGTGATATCCCTAGGCAAAATCCTAGCCCCATTGAAAATAATAGATGTTTGCCATAGACTTCAAGGGGACCAAGATTTTACCTTGTATATTGTGGATATAAGTTGACAAGAGTAATGATGTAGTCCAAAGATGCATTATAGAATAGTACTTTTGCAAGTAATGTACTGTTCCTTTTCAAAAAACCTTTCTTTCTCTTATTCTGAAGATAAGAAATGAATTTCAAAATAATTTTATTGTTCAGTATGTAAGAACCTTTGCATTAATATTCGTAATATGCATAACATTTAACCTCTAAGTTTTAACATTTATAAGACTTTGTAGGATATGGCCACAAGCATGTATGCACATGCCTCTGATGCAAGTGTCACAGCGATAGAAAAGCAAGGCTGGAGTGTGGTATGTTTTGTGCCTTCTACATTGCTGAAATGGCATAAGGAGAGGGAACAAAAGAGTGAGCATGAGAATTCAGCAGTACTGCTAGTCGCATGCTAATATTAATTACAGTTGAAAATATTTTAAATCACTGCACATGCAAAATGCACAGCACTGAACTGTGATGTTATAGGCTTACTGGTATCAGTGTGAGATCACTTGTAAAAAGAAAGCACAGATTCCTGACTTTCACAGAATACCAAAAGCACGCTAATAGACTTTTGTATCTGTCCACCCATTATGTCTCTCACACGCACACTTTCTCTTATAGAAAATGTCCCACAATGAAGCGTATGACGCTTGTGTAGCATAATACAACATGTCCTAAAAAGATTTAATTTTCTGTGGAATTGTTTGTGAAACATTTGCGATTTCTCATCTGAATTATTTTAAATTACTTGCTGTACAATTTTGATTTTAAATCCTTCGTTTGTATCTCACTCACTAGGAATTCACTTTGCATTGAAGTAATTTTGATTGGAGCTACGTACCGCCCGCCCACGTGTTCTCTGATGGGATGAGTGTCTCAATAGCAAGCTACCTCTGCGTACCAGTCTTAATTTTGTTATCTGCTGCTGTTTGTCACCTCTAACTTGTTAATGGAAACAGACTGCACAGGAAATGACAAACCAAGCATACTTAGAAGTGAAGAAATCTCTCCAACTGGTATTTTTTTTTGTTTGAGTTGCCCAAAAATTATACACAGACACTGACAGACCACATGTTAGGAAACTAACTTCAAGATTAAAGGCCTGACTCTGTCTATAAAATAGTTGATTTTTTTAAAATATCTTTTCTTACCATCAGCTTTGCTTCCTTCTTCCATCAAGAGCTTTGTAATATTGAGAAAGCCTTTGGCAGAAGCCAAATGGAGAGGCCTGTCTCCAACTTCACCACTTGCATTCACATCAGCTCCAAACTTCAGTAAGAGGTGGGTTACCTAAATATTTCATGAAGGATAATTAAAATATCACATAAAAATATTTTTTTTTGACAAAATCAGGCACAATATTGCATTAGGTAATACTATAAGTGGGCATCTCTAAAGCTAAAACAGGGAGAGGAGATGAAATGGAAAACTCATTTTTAAGTTGTATATCTATAAAAATATTAAAATTCTCAAAAGCAAGTGCTCATTCATTCTCTAAAATATTATGCATGGTAAAGGGCTAGACACAAGACACATGTATCTGTTTAATTGACCAGTTAGCATAATAAAGCAAATGCCCTCAAAGTCCACAAATGTCAGAGCCTTAGCTTCCTTTCTTTTCACAAGAACACCGTATGAGCTTTTATCATAATTTCACAAGACTGTGACTATTTGTTCAGAAGGGCTTGTCGCTAATAAGCAAACTAATCTCTTAGCCCAACATGCAAGGAGTTTCTTAATGTTATTAGATGAAGAGATGCATATATATGAAAAAAAGGATCTCAGGAACACATCCATGGTTCACACCCTTGCTGTCACTCAGCCACAGAATTAGAGCATTTTCAATCATCTGTGCATCTGGACTCTGTTCTTTCAAAAGCTCAGTGCACTCAAAGTAACATGTCCCTGAAATGAAAAATGCACTCTACCTAGAGGTCATCTTTTTCTTTTTGAAACTTGAAAATATCCCAGAATACGTGCTTTTAGCCAAAGAAAAGTATAGGGAATGACTTGCATAAGCCAAAATAGACCCATTATTACATTTCACATAAAAGGGCTATTCAGGGCAAATGACTGGACTGCTAGATTAACCATATGTCAATTATACTTAGTAAAAGAAAGTGAATTGGGAGTTTCAATGCCAGATTTGGTCAGAACTTCAGATTATGTTTCAATAACTCTGTGATCTGTGTGAATGAAGCAAACACATTCGGACTTGTCATGTGCACAGTACCTCATGGAATATCCTGCTCTCTAAATTATCATTTTTTCTGTTAACTTAAAAGTGGCCACAATTTAGATTGTGAATGCCAAGGAAAACCAATTTAATTGCCATTTAATTATTACTGAGAAGTGATGTTCACTTCCTTGGAGAGGCTTAAGATTGTATATTCACATTTTTTATGTGCTCTCTGAAATATGGGATGAATAAGCATCAAATGAAATATGCCTCTGGGTCCAAGTCTGTTTATAGGTTATCAAAGCTAGCTAGATTAATAATTTGTTTCAAGACATCTAGAAGGAAAGATGCCAATTTTTGCTAGGGTCTGGCACAGATCATTAAAGTGTAGAAATTTCCTGTTGGTACTCAGACTCTTAGAGCAACTAAAGATTGAGTAAGAAGTGTAACTTCAGTATGTGAGGCTTTTTCATGGCAGGACCCTCTGGGATGTAAAGCAAAAATATCTAACACTAAACCTATAGTTGCCTTGGTGTTCCACTTCTCAGCTTTCTGAAATACCCCCATTTAGTTACCTGTTCATGGCCATAATATGCAGCAATATGCAATGGGGTGAAAAAAACTGCATCCTGAACATTTACATAAGCTCCATGCTGCAAAAGAATATCAACAGCCTAGGAGGAAACAAACAGAAAATTCTGATTAGAAGCACTATATATATGTGGTCAGCTAGTAAAACAAGACTTTGAAACCTTATGTCACCAGTTTGAAAAAAAGCAAAAAGCCCCAAACAGCAAGCTATAAAGGTGGAGAACTGCATGTAAAAGTGATTAACTTACAGTACTTTAACTGTATGCCACTGATGATTTGTAAATAACCCTGAAAATGTGTTTGCCAGTAAAAAGACTGATTTATGAAATAAGAGGCACAGAAATGACTGTCTGGAGTTTCTCAGAATAACCTTTAATTTCCTTTTAACCATTATGAACAAAGAGTAGTAAACATATCACAGTTTTTAGAAGTGGAAAAAAAAAAACAAAACCCAACTGAAAGATCCTTTTAAATGTAACTGTGTGAAGGTAAATCCTCAAGCGTAATTCCCTTAGTGTGTAAAGCCTTTGTATTTTAGAATAGCCCTTTGGCTTCAATAAATAACCCTAAGGGTTTTCTTTCAGATTTCCACTTTTTTGGTCTTTCAGGAGGCCAGTGTTTTTCTGGACAGCTATGAATTATCAAACATTGGCTTTCTGAATAACTGTCAAAATAGAAACCTGTATGAAACCACTTTGGATTATAGATTGATGCCTAAGGGCTGCTAATTTTTTTAAAGCATGAGGGAGTCTTTAGGCATGCTAAAGGGCTTGTGCCATGGATTATTTGAGTAGTTCTACATATCATTTTGATGAATGTTAATTTTTAAGTCTAATGATGCTAGACTGTGAATCACCCACAGCATAGTGAGCAACTGGGAAACACCTCCTTGTCAGTCAGAAGAAATGACAAAGAAGGGGAAATGGCCAGCTTCTATGCTACGCTATTTTTATCTGTACCTCTCCACTGAGACTTCCACCGATGATGCCAATTAATGCTAGCTGCAAAGATGCACATTTCTGTCAACTGCTATCTAAGCTGAGATCACCAAATCATTTCACACATGCAACAATTGGGCCAGTCATTTAAATCCATGTCATTCTCAAGCACTCGGAGAATGAAAACCTGTTACTAAGCAACATTAGTGTACAGGGATTATTTCTTTACACAATTCAAATTGAAATACATTTTTTTCCATGGTGCTGACTGAATATATTTTGTGTGTAAGGTCCATTCCCTGACATATTGAAGTGTATCTATTTCCTGTTAGTTTTAACCATTTCACTGTGCTATCAGTTCTAAGCCTCCCCAGAGAGCAGCATTGCAGTGCCATTTCTGTCTCTTCAGAATCCAAGGGCTTCAACAGGTCCAGCACATTATAGGAGGTGCCTAAGTGTTGCAAGGACTAAGCCCTTCTATTGAAGACAGGCTGGAAGAGGTGAGGATTGCTCTGTTCCTATCGAATTATTCTTCAGCACCTCTCTGAGTACAAATGATGGGGAATGTTGGTCCTCTGTGTCCAATATTATTTTCCAGAAGCTAGAAGTATCCTGGGAGCATACTAGGCAGGGACAGAAGCATTTCTGGTGTGAATAGGATAAGCAGTGAGCATCGCCTGTGAGTTAGATTGCAAAGAAGTCCCACAAACGCTGATGCTTGTCTTTGGCTGTTGTTGTGGTGCTCCAGAGACACATGAGTTCTGAACATGTAGCAACGGAGAAGGTGGGAGCTGGCAGGAGTGAGAGGACTCCTGAATGAAGGCAATCCTGGGGATGAAGAGCATCCCCAGCAGCCAGAGCCAGACTCTGAGGATGACACAGAATCACATAACCATTGAGGTTGGAAGGGAGCTCTGGAGAGTGTCCAGTCATATGTCTACATAAAGCAGCGTCTCCTGGAGCAGGTGTCTCAGGGCCATGTCCAGTCAGGTTTCGAATATTGTCCAGTCTCTAAGGATGCAGACTCCACAACATCCCTGGAGACCTGTTCCAGTGTTTGAGCACCCTCACACTAAAAAAGCCTCTTCTTCTGTTTAAATGTTTCCTGGATTTCAGTTTCTGCCCATTGCCATCCACCTTGTTAGTGGGCACCTCTGAGAAGAGTCTGGCTCCCTCTTCTTTCCTCCCTCCTCAGGTATATGTGCACATTGATAAGATCCTCCCAGAGCCTTCTCTGCTCCAGGCTGAACAATCCCAGCTCTGTCAGCTTCCCCTCGTATGTCAGATGCTCCAATCCATGAACCATCTTCATTGTCCACTGGACTCACTCCAGTATGTCCATGTCTCTTTTCTCTGGGAGCCTAGCACTAGGCACAGTATTTCTGGTGCCACCTCACCAGTACTGAACAGAGGGGAATAATCTCCTCCCTCAACCCTGCTAGCAGCACTCTTCCTAATGCAGCCCAGGATGTCTTTTACTGCAAGGGCACATTACTAGACCATATTCAACTTGTTGAACTCCTAGATCCATTTCTGCAAAGCTGCCTTCCAGCTGGTCAGCCCCCAGGGAAAGTAAAATTCACATTTGAAAGAAATAGAGACAATGAATCATAGAATGATTTAGGTTGGAAGGGTCCTCTGGAAGTGTCTAGTCCACCCTCCTGATCAAAGCAAGGAGTAATTTCAAAGGTTGCGCAGGGTCTTGTCCAGTTGAATTTTGACTATTTCTAAGGATGGAGGTTCTGCATCATCTCTGGAAAGCTTTCAGTGCTGCACCACTCTCATTGTGATGCCCCTGCCCAGAATTTCCCTTGCTAAATCTCATGTGTGTTGAAGTCCTTTTGCTGTGCATCCTTTTGCTATGGATCTCGAAAAAGTTTGACTCTATAAGAAAAATCTTATGAAAGATCCCCTGAGATCTTTAGAGAAGCTCCCTAGCCTTATATCAGCTGAAGAACAGCTCAGTAGCAGCCTTAACACATGCATTTACTGGGGGAGTGTTAATGTGTTTATGTAGTAAATAAAGAACACTCTCAGTTACTGGTTGGTTAATGCAACTGACTCCCTCTGTTGTGCATCCCATGTCCAGACAATTTTCAGTACACTAGTAACTTGGTGGACCAGAGGTGGGGAACACAGACCCAGCTAGCCTGTGATTTAATGGCTTGGTGAGTTTTGAATAATTAATCTTAGATATCTTTCAGCAAAATACTATCATAAAACTGAAGTTGTAGCTGTTGGCTCTGAAAAGAGATGTTTGGACCTGTAGCTTTTACAAGAATATGGTTAAAACTTCTTTGGATCACTTTGGGTTTAATTTTGGCATGCAACTGTGAGGCCATACCACACTCAGGGATGTGACCACAACTCCAATTCTCCTTAATCTCTTTGGAAGGCTGGAATTGAAAATGTAGATCCATCTACAAGCTTCAAGGTGTATCTTTAAGATGAAGAAACTGTGCTGAGTGATGTGGATCCACCTCTGATGACAAACTTAAAACTAGATGAATTTTGAAAAATTTTTGCAGGCTGTGGAAATGGCAACTTTGTGATCTGCTGATAAAAATAATTTTGTGAGTCATAGTAAGCAATCTTTACTCAACTGCAAATGATGAGAGGGGTTCAGAGACAATCTTGATAGTTTCATAGACAACCTATCTTTCTAAGAAAGAAGACTAGAATCTGAGAAAACACTGAAAGTTGTCACAGGCATTACAAGTAGGTGGGTGTGCTGGAGTGATGTGCAAGGATAAAATTACTTCAGAAATTAAGGGGAAAATTTCTGATGCAAGAAGAGCTTTAAATTCTCATTGAAAGATCAAAAAAAGACTTTTATCCTCAGGAAACAGACTCTGACTAAAGGTGCAACTTGTAACCTACAGGAAATTTTCAAGCTGCAGAGAAAGCAGCTCTTGCTGACTAGTGTTGTGAGGGGTCAACAGAACTGAAAACTGCAATGGCCAGCTAAGGTCTGTAGTCATCATCACAGCCCAGAGGGGAGGGAAGGGAAGGGACCTGTCCTGTTTAATACCTTTAAGGCAGCAACGGAATGCACTCTTGTCATGTTAAGAGAGGACATCAAATTATGCCCTCAGTACACTTGAGAGTGGGGCTGCTATCCAGGGGGACCCAGACAGGCTAGAGGAAGGGACCAACATGACCCATACGAGGTTCAACAACAACAAACACAAAATCCTCTACTGCGACAGCACAGGCTGTGGAACAGCTCTGCTGGAAAGGACCTTGGGATCCTGGTGATCCAAGGCTGAACTTGAGTCAGCTGGACAGCTTGGCCGCAAAGGTGGCTGGCAGCTTCCTGGGCTGGGTTCACAGTGGCATAGCCTGGACAATGAGGGGAACAACTGCTCCCTTTTTCCTTGCATAACCAATTTTTAATTCAAAATGATACTTTGAATACTTTGAACAATACTCTTACTTTGTACTTTTTCTTAAAATTCTCTTATGAAAGGTTTATTCAGAAGCTTTTTGAACATTCAAGTCAATTATGTTCACTTCAAAGACAATTAATTAAGCTACTCTGGAGGTTAGAAGGAGTCAACAAAATAAAACATAAGACAGACTACATACGGACTTTGTCTTTGGGACAAGGGCAAGGGATAAGAAATCCTCTAAGAAAATAAAACCAATTATTATTGACTTTATAGCAGGTAAAATTTAAATGAGAAGACAACTTAAACAATTAAGGCCTTTGCACCAGTGCTAGCTTCTGTACAGCCTTACACTAAAATATCTAAATAATCTATCATGATTTTCATAGTTCCTTTATTAATTAAGCTATTGAAATAAAAATGTGATTAGTGGCAAGCATTTGCCTAATTCCCTCCAATTTAGCAAATGTAGATATGATCAGTCATGTCCCGCAAAGTGTCTTTGCTTAAATTATTACAACTCCTAAGTCTCCGTGTATCTGTAAGAATTTTAGAACAAACCCTATCAGACTGAATTAAGAAACTGCTAAAGGGGGTTCTGAATGTTTTAAATACAGCTTGCTAATGAATGTAAAATTAATTGTCTTTCTTAAGGAAAAAGTCTACTGAAATGTTTTATACATGCTCTTGTGTAAGACATGAGGACAAACATCAGAGCAGCAATAAGCTTTTGCAGGTTCTTTTATCTTAGCTGTT